CCAGTTGTTTGGGGATCATGATGTCTAAAATTATTCTTTCATCCATCATCTATCCTTTGTATGTTCTTGGGTTTTAGAATCCTAAGATTTGTTTTTATGAAACTTATTGACCCTGTGCTCCTTTAACACAATTAGTTCAGCATTCTGTAACAATTCTATACATTTGGGAAACTCCTAAGCCTGGACTGGAGATTGAAAGTCCCCTGTCACTGTTCCTTCTAGACAATCAGCCTTAAAAGCATGCTACCCATGATTCAAGAGATAGGAGTGATTTTGCCCACTCTGATCAGCAAACATAGTCATCTCTTTGCTCAGCCCTAAATCTGGATTATTTACTGTACAGTGTATAAATTGAAAAGCACTGATGCCAATGAGAATTGTCCATTTATTCTCATCCTTTGTTTTCTTTTTTATATATAGTTGTCAATCCATGAGACTATCTGTCCTCTTTTTTCCATGGGAGCTGAGTTTGTTCAGAAGCTGTTTGTGGGGGATTTTTTTTTTTTTTAAAGTTCAAGTATACAATATCTAATTGATGAAATCCTCAAAACGGTCAAGAAGGTTAGCAAGTCAAGACCTACCTTTGTAGAAACCCTGTTGATTACTTCTCACCAAGGTTCTTCTGGTATGTTTGCCTCATTTCTCTGGAACAGGTGTTAAGATAATGGGAAGCTTGGTTCTCTGTAATATGATGGCTTTTGGGCAACCAGGTGTTGGATTCAGGACATTTATGGAGGTAGCCCTTAGTGCGGGTTCATCTTCTAGCTTCCCTCCTTTAGACAGGAACTGAACAAATTTTATTCCAAAAGGTTCTTAAGGTGTAGTTATTTTAAACTAATTTTTAATATGATTGGCACCTTAAGATGATACTGTTCTAAATTACCCCACCTTGTAATTGGTAGGATTTTTACTTTCAGTTACACCCAAGAACAGAATTCTAGTGATAGCAGTAAGCTTACTAGAAGTAGTGTTAGCACTAGTAGTTATTAGATTGCATTAACCTTAGTTAAAATAAATTTTATATACTCCCACAACTTGTTTCTGGCTAGGCTGTTTTTTATTTCTCACAAAATGGCTCGCCTCTAATTTTCAATCAGGTTACCGTTATCCTTCCTCTTGACGCCTTCAGGAACTTGATCTCTGAAAAGTATCAAGTGTTCTCCAGGGAAATGACACTGTTTTCCCTTCTCTTCTCTTAAAAAGAGCTTCATACAGAGTAAACAGAGATCTTTTCAGTACCTAATTAGAAATGAACTAGGGCTAATTGTTTTAAATGAAAACTGGGGAAATTACAGTAACCCTCATGAAATGGTACACATTTTAAGTGCAGGCCTTAATCTGTGTAGTATAGTTACTGTACTGTGGTTCTTGAAGGGTAAGGCCAGATCATTTTCCTGTTCCTGCAATTCCAGTTCTGTGAATTTTGCTATTTTAAAAGTGAAGATAAGGCTAGACATTAGTTTTATTTATAATGTTTTCTTGATTTTCTCATATTATTTGTAGATTTTTTTCTCCTTACCATGCTTTTTGCATACTGGCTTCCAAGCAGTTGATATAAGCAACATCTCAAAAATTAAAATACAATGGCCTAAATAATGGCAGATGAACAGGTAAATTAATAAAGCAAATATAAGAAACTTTCTCAGTAACAGTCAGAGCTTTGAATGGCATCAGAGAACAGAATGGATCTTTTTTTTTTTGTGGGTAAACATGTATGGGAAAGGATTTCTATAATTTGAGGACAGTCTGTATATGTTTAGAATCCAGGGGAACCTGGAAGATGCACCTCTGAGCTTTGAACTAATTAGTGGATGAACTTCTATGGGAGTCCAGTCCAAAGCTGTTGAGTGTTTTAAAATCAAACCAGCACTTTGAGTTCAGTCTGGAAGCAAACTAATAAATTAGTAATAAAATGATGAAAATGAAATGAAAATAATGTGATCATGTTTGTAGTTTCCTCAAGTAACATCTAGGAGCTGATGAAGTTTTGCAAGATATTAACAGTAGTTTAGCCTTGATCTCAATAGAACATGGGTATAGAACATGGCATACCCCACAAATTATTATACCTTCCTGTAGTTTAACTTTTAGATGGAAATTTTAATTTCTTTTGTATCCATCTTTGTATGTAAGGTAGAAAATAACAATTCATGGAATTTGATAGCTAATGAACTAAATTTAGCTAACCTACCAGGTATCTTGGAATCTTGCTTTGCAAGAAATTACTGAAATCTGAGTCATTGGAGTGACTGTTTGAGTGACTCCCTTTGAAAGATACAGTGGAAAAAAATGATATTGATTCCATGTATTGCATAAGGATTTTTATTTTTAAGTCTGCCCTCTAAAATCACAGGCAGGATGTTGATACACTGTGCTAGTAAACATTCTGCACTATTTAGAAATAGAAAATGAATCAAGGGACCTCAGAGGTGTGTAATTACATGGAATAGAATGTTATTTAATTCATTCTGGCACATTGCATCTGATAACTTTTGCTTAAGGACTTAACTTTGCTGATTCATAAAAGCGATCTTTCATCTTAAAACTATACTGAATTGACAAAAAAAGGGGAGGGAAATTTCTCAGTGCAAAACTTAACTTCATTAAAAATTAAAGACAACAATGGGTGATTGTGGTTAGGAGAATATTAGAAGTGTCTCACATCTTGGCAAATGATGAATGATTTTTGGAAAAAGGAAAGTGAACCCAATGCCAAGCAGTTTTACCATCTTCTGCACCTCATATGAAACAACTATCCTCTCTGATGCCATCGCTGTCTCTTTCTTGATTTATAAGTTGTCTTTTTGCCCATGGCAAAATATGTTATTCATTATATATCTTCATTTGAAATTTCTGACGATTAGTTCATGTGATGAGTTTTCCTTTGAAGTGATGCAGATAACTTATTACAGCAGATACTGACATTATGGAACAGTTTATTCCTGAAGTATGTTTGATGCCCACTGTGCTATCTTTTCAAAAAGGGTTTAAAACTATTTTGATAGGAATTTGAGCATTAGAGGCACTGTTGGACTATCTTTTAATTTGGGGATATTTTTATTGTCAGCTGTGATTTTTTGTTTTGATGATAGTTTTATTTAGCGATAGAGAATGGTTTTGTTTTCATATTTAATATGTTGCAAATCTCTTGGAGTCCTTGCAATATGGATGGTATTCAAAAGTTTGTACTAATAAGTGAATATCCATTTTTAAGGGGTCTTTTGAATTGCTATGTGCTACTGAAAAGATTATGTATCTTGGTACATAAGAAGATTTTTCTAAAGTAATACATTGTATATCCTGAGTGTGCCAGTATGTTGCGTGTATTTCTAGTTGGTGGGATATGAGCAAGAGGGTGTTGGCTTACTAGATAGATAGAGATCCTAATTTTCAAAGAATAGAGTGAACATGATCTGGACAAAATTGGCTTTGGTTGTGCTTGTGGCACACTGTCCAAAAAGGGAATGAGTCACTGATGGATGGATATGAATTGAATGCACAAGTAAATGACCAATGCAAAAGAAGCACAATTGGGTGTTTTGGTCATTTGGAGAGAATTGAAATGAAGGGCAGCTTACAAAACAAATCTATGAAGGAAAAGTGAATGGGTTGATAGGAATGGGAAGACCAAGATTACTATAATTAATGGAGTTTATGAAATTGTCAAAAAGAACAATACATTTAAAGGCTAAAAGGTAGTGTATGAATCAGTACGTGAATGTGGCGGAACCAAGATCGTCTGCAGTGCTAGAAAGGCATAGAGAAGTATAGTGAATGGTGATGATCTAAAGTAAATTTCCTTTTGTTTTCTCTTTTCTCCCTTGCTTTGCGTGTCTTAATTCTATTTATTTATCAAACACATTTCTACCCTGTCATAACCAAAATGACTGTCAGTGGCTTACATAGAATATAAAAAGAAGCAGTTTAAAACATCCACAACCACATTTAAAACCATACAGGAATATGATTACTACTTCTCACTCTCTTTATGGTCTTTGTGTAATATTGCTTACTCCAAAAGGTAATAGCATGAAGGGTATGACGTATGACAGTAAATTGTTAATTGAGAATTAATTGTGCAATAAAAGTTAGGCATTTGCCACTTTAATCAAAGTTTATAGTCATTAGCAGTGTAAATGAAATAAGGGCTTCTGTTGAGGGCATACTAGTTCAAATAAGGGGAAAGAGAAGGGGTGGGGGTAGAGGAAAATTGCAGATAAGTTATTTTTTGTCTGATGTTGATAAAGTTTGGGACAAGGGTCAGATATTGGAAAAGATAGAGAATGAAGTGAAACGAGGGATTTCAGGAGATGCAGTTTTGAGGAGAAAGTTCAGTGACACTGAGGAACTGATATGAGGGAGAAAGGGAATGGTGGCTGAATGAAGAATTATACAGATTTGAAAACAGTGGCATCTAGCTTTCTCATTTTTCTCTTCTGGAATTAAAAGGTTAGTAAGGAATCAGTGATATCTCTCCTCATAGTACTTAAGTAGACTTCTGATTAAATATATTACTCAGAAGTAAAATTGATGTTGGGGTTTGTTTCACTAAGTTTTAGTGGAGATCAGGAAGGAATGTGAATCTTGACTTACATGGAGTTGAATGCACCTCAAACATTTTTCAGTTTTTAACATGATATGGAATGATAAAGTATGTAGAGGACAGAATAAAATCAAAAGACTAAGCCAGGGAGGTCACAAAAGTTACCACATATATAGACCGCAGAAGAATGTGTTGCAACTGAATATTTGCATTGTAAAATTATCCTTTTCTGACTCTTTCAAGATAGAATGGGAACCTTTCCATTCCAGTCCAGTTTTGACACAGGATTGATTGGGGGCTAAGCATTTAAGATATGTAAGTTTGACCTGGGACATTCGAGCTAAGATAGCAGATTATTAAATTTAAGTGTAGTAATAATAGTGTTTTGCTTCCATTGTTTCAGTCTGAAAGCCTGAAAGAGTGAGAATTGTTTCTGCTTTTTTATCTTTTAGATTTTTGCCATTTACTGAGCCCACCATGTTTTACTGAGGAGGATAAATACAGTCTGGAAGCTCTCTGTACAATTCATAAACAGATGGATGATGACAAAGATGGTGGCATTGAAGTAGAGGAAAGTGATGAGGTTGGTATGGACATATGTTACTTTTAATGTTACGTTTAAAAATGAAAGATCCCATATATATGTACAGCTGTGCTACTTCACATAATCCTGGCAAATGAATTGGAAGAAAAACTTCACTTGGCATTTTGCGGCATTTGCATTCTTCAAGAATGCAGAGCACAGATTTAAAATAAAACTTGAAATTAATTTGTGCAGAGCATTGGATAGCATTACATAGTTATTTCTGCTAAAAGAGTAGCTTTTTATACTAAAAGATAATCGGTGTGTGAAGTTGGAATCCAAATTGTGAAGTAAAACCAGCCATGACTTTTTTTTTCTGTACATGTACAAGAATGGGGGCAGAGCAAGGCTAAGGCATATGGATCTTTTAGCAGGTCACTAGTCTGCAGCATTTTCTGGTCTTAGCAGATCTGCCACTCAATAGTGGGGAAGGTTTGCATCAGTCAGATATTTTTCATGCTTTGTGTGTTATATGTATTTTCTGTTTTATGGTGGTTCTGATGTGAGTTTTTTTAAAACTCCTGTTTAAATAAGCAGCTTAAGATGAAAGCTATTTTTCTTCGACATTGGTTCAATTTAATAAAGATGGGAGAAGTTTAAAAAGTGGCAAGACAGAAAAATGAATAGTCTCACTCATCTTTAAAGGTCTTTTGATACTGTTAACTGGGGTGTTGTTACCAAACATGTTTAGTAGCATGGTTCAAACAACAACTCCAACAACAACAACAACAACTCCTCCTCCTCCTCCTCCTCCTTCATCATCATCATCATCATCATCATCGGGAGATTAATAATTAAATACAGTACAAAGTAAAATGTAGAATGCACTAAAACAGGAACAAGATACACACTTGTGAGAAAACATGCGTTTTGGTTTATGCTCATCTCATGCAAAAGCAGGACCTTTAGCAGATCCTTTTTAGATGTCCTCACAGAATGGGTGTCATCAAGTTGGGTGAGATGGTCCCTGATGTAAAACTGCGTTGTAAAGGGCTTTCTAGGCGATAACCAGCACTTTGAATTTGGCCCTGCTAGTTGTCTGGCCGCTGCATTCTCTACCAGCTGTAGCATCTGCACATTGCAGAAGTCCAGATCTGTGGTGGCAAAGCTATTTGGTCCACAGTAATTAGTACACCGCCAACGCTGGAGAAATCTCCCCCAGCCATGGCCTTTACCTGATGCTCCATTATCAGCTCCTTCTTAGGAAATGTGATCCCACCCTAGGAGATCCTGCTGTGTTTGCTACCACTGACAGAATGTCAGTCTGTGGTTACCCACAGTGAGGCATTTTCATTGGTTGCTTCTGCTTTCTAAAATACTTTCCCTGCTGAAATCTGTGAAGTATCTACTGTTACATTTTTTAGCATCTTCCCTGTGTAAATATTATTGATGAATAGTTTTCATTGGTTTGGTTTTTTCTTTTTTCTTCCCTCTGTTTTTAATAAATACATTTTTATATTTTTTCTTTTACTGTATTTTATTATTGTATTTTAATGACATTTGTTTTTATTTGTAAATTGTTTTGAGTTATGACTACATAGGAATGATGATAGAACTACAGTCAATAAATCAGTATTTTTTTCTTCAGATGGGGAATGAAATACTCGGTACTGATGGGGTCTTTTGGGCAATGTTCAGTCTGGCACTGGAGGGTACCACTGTCTTTTCTTTGATGATGATGATGGTGATGATGATTTATTAAGTTAATATGCCGCCTGACTCCCAGCGACTCTGGGCATTTATAGATTGCAAAGAATTCAAGTATATCTATGGGTCTGTAATCATATCATCTGTTCTCTTTCTTCATCATCTGCAGTTATAATATTGTTTTAAGAATTATACAAAGGGAAAGAAAAGTTTTTTGTTTTTTTTTTAAAATGTGGGATGTAGAGTTTTATGTAAGGAAGGAAATTCTGTCAGAAGAAATTAACCCCTTTTGAAAAGCTGCTTCCTGTTCAGTTAATGAATGCCTGGAACAATTAATAGTGAATGTTCTTTAACATCATGTTCAGTGTTGATATTGGGAGTGGCTGGAAATTATTCCTGAAAAAGCTAGTTACTTTTTGGTAGACTTACTCTGTTGAGAAAAAAGCTTGTCACATTACAGAATATAGTGTCTTACTACAAAATACAATGGTAATTCATTTCCCAAAGGGAGCAGTGTCTTTATGTGATGATAATGACATACAGTCTAATGCCAAAATAAGTGCATGGTAATCTTATGTTTTAGCTAACAGACACATTCTCAGTATGAGCATCTTCTTAGCCTTGAATCAGAGTGGTTCATCTGAATTTGAGAAAGGGAGTTAGGCCCATTCTAAAAGATGCTTTTTCAAACTAGTGATGATAACCAGGAAACTTCCAGCTCTGGCTGGAATGATTGAATTGAAGGAGGAAGTGTCAATTGGTAACTAATCTTAAAATAGTAGTTATTGTAAGAACAGCTGAGCAAGATGTCAGTTGGCCTCTCTCTGGTGCAAAGTTGGAAGGCTCTGGATCATCCTGGAATATTCCCTTCTGTCTGAGAGTAAAGATGTATGCATGTTGACAGTCTGAGTTAGGACACAAGAACCTACTTGTCAGAAGAAAAAAGGAAGAAGCAGACTTCCTGCAGTTATTGAATCTGAATTAAGTGGAATGGAAGAGTGGCAGGAAAATCACAAGTTAGAAATACATCTCAAAGATGAGACTTGACCTCTGGAATCAACCACTGCATATTTTTTATTCTTGCTGGCCTATTACCTTGGTTATTGGAATATCAGCCGTTGATATTTACAATCCTGATTTATATCTTGGGTCCTGTTCTCATTTATAGGTCTTCCTTCTTGTCTCCCTCCCCCCCCCCCCCCCCCCCCCCGCTCTGTGTGATCTTCTGAGCTTTTGATCTTGGACAGCCTGCTTACTACAGTATGCACTTTCTGCTACCTGATTGCAGGGCTCCGGTAGTGGCATTCAACCTTGGCCAGGACAGCAAGTGAATTCTATATTTAGTAAGCTTAAGTGAAGATTATTAGAGAAGCAGAGGGAGAGAATCTTCATATTAGATTTTCAGCTCCTGCTTTGCCAAAACACTTTAAAGACTTTTGCTGTAGCTTTAAATTCTGAGTTGCCCCTGATATGCTATGGTTTATCTCCAGTATGATAAACATACGGATGATTGAGGAAAGCTGCAGATGATATGGAGGGTGCTTGGGCTACTGAATGCCTTGCCCTGGCTGAATACACAGACCCTGTGAAATGAAGAAGAAGGTGTGAATTGCTCAGCTGCTTCTGCTCCTCTTCACTGAGGGCAGCTTATATAACAAGAAGCATCACGACTGTGTCTACCTCCTCCCTACTGGGAAAATGCTCTGCATTAAAGCAGATTTGAAATGGTGGTGTGACTGCAGCTCCTGTATTTTTTCATCATTTCATTAACTGGCTGGACATTTGTAGCACAGTTTCAGATATATAAATATAAGGGACTGGGATTATTTAGCATTTGAAGGACTTTTCTGATTACTTTAAAAACTCTGTGTGTGCGTGTGCGCGCGCGCACATGCATTTTGTCTTCTGTATCGAGAAGCAGATACTCTGCTTGCCATTTTTTGCCTCAAGACTGAAGAGCTACTGCCAGTAAAGGCAAACATGGGCATATGTTCATTTTAATATACATTTTAATATATGTTCATTTTAATAAAGAAAAGCAGCTAACAGATGCAGCCAAAAAAGTATATTTTATAATCCAGACACATTTGGAAATGTCAGTAAACTGGCAGTAATCCTAATTTAAAATGATACTTTTGTCTGAACTTTCTAATTTAAATTTTTGAGCTATATTAATTCCTTTTATTTCATATTGAAGAAAATACTTTGATACAGTAAGCAACATCTGTTATATATTTCTGTCATTGTAAATAATTCATTTCAAACTTCTGGAAAGTATAGTCATAGATCCCACATACTCAGAAATGCATTGCATTTCAGTATTTGCAAAGGGTTTTTAAATTGGTGAACTTTGATTCCAACTTTTGCCATATGTCCTAATGTCAGAATTTTTCCATATTCCTGGACTGTAAGGGATTTCACTTTTAAAGCTGTTCCACAGTGCATGTTCTGCTTAAAGAAATATGTAACGTATTTATTATATCTAAAGCAGCATTGGAGCCCACTGCAATGGTTTGGGAAGAGTTAAGCCAACTTTCTCACATCTTAGCCAATCTCAATTATAGAGATCTGAGTGCACAGCAGCATCTGTAAATGTAGAAATGTTACTTCTGCCCAGGAAGGGCTAAAGTTGATACAACAGTCTACAATAGGAAAAAGAATTTCAAATCAGAAATGCTGTTTTAGATATGAAGGGACTTGTAGACTTTAAATCTATAAGTTCCTTCGGATCTAAAAAAAAATCTAACTTTTTTTCAGATCTAAAGAAGGTTAAAGGCAAGATGGTGGAAAGAGCAGGAGCCATGCATGGCCTGTCCTTGCATTAGTGTGTTGTTTTTTGTTTAGGTGGATTGTTAGGGGAATGCCTGAGTTGGCACCTGCCGATTGAGGTCGGAGTGGTTTTGGACCTGGACTTGGATTCAGACTTGTTTGGGCTGCATTCCTGGAGGATGGGCCATGCACTGACCGCACCTGCTGCACTTACTGCGCCCATGGATGGGCAGCTGTGGAGATGGCCCCTCTGTGCTGTGTGCTTTTTTGCCACAGGTGTTTCTCCCCCATGGTATTTTTTTTTTCTTTCAGATGGCAGCGACAGAGAACTGGACATTCCTATGGCTGGTTGGGATGTTGGGAGATTCCTGCCCCATGCTGATGATAGAGGTCCTCTGCCTGCTATGGCATTGTGCAACCTTGGTGGTTGCTGCTGGGAGCTGCACCTTGGCAGCTCTCCATCCGAAAGACCATCCAGGACATTGGGATTCCGGAGGTGTTGGCGGTGGCCGGAGGGGGGGAGGATGACAGTAGAGTAGCAGGCTAGTGTGGCCCCTCTTTCCCTGTGACTTCTGTTAGTCCCG